AAGTTAAAGAATGCCAGAGGCCTTTTGTAACCTGCACCCAACAGAGTCAATATCAACGAAGTATTTAAGTAATTCCATCCCTGCCAACATTAAACAAGGGAGCATCCTTATCAAAGGTTATACATTTCTCTCGGTAAATCCCAGCTCAGAACAGATTTATTCCTTCATATATTCAAATTTTATACACACAGGGTGAGAAAGTGTGACAATGACATATGACAGTCCAGTTTAATATGCAGACTGCACGCCAAGTTCGTGATTGACATGTCAGAAGTGGGTGATGTTTTACAGCAGAATGACTGGCAGATACTTGTGGACCATAAAACTTCACAAGTTTCTCCTTCGCAAGTAGTATTGACCTTTAAGGGTATCCACATTAAGCATCAAATTACCTCCTGGATAATTTCATTTTCCAAAAGGATGTCACATCCAAATGTTCCTTTACTTTTTAAGAATACAGAGGGCATTTCAAAAGATGTAGCATTTTGCTCAAAAACTTTAATACAGGATGAAACGCAATATCAGAAGTCAAATATTGTCTGTTTTTTCTGCTTCTAGCAATGTTTAGCAGAATTAAAGTGTTGTTATTTTACTAGGAATGGTTAATAGATTTAATTCTTGTCCACAGTGTGTGAAGTCCGAGTTGGTGGTCTCCCATCTTGACTGGGACAGGACAATGTTAAAAATGCATGACTAACTCACTCAGTAGATAAACATAGTGTGTTTTCAGATTTGCAGGTTTTGAGTATTTTAAGTCCAAATTTTCATTTGGAACTGATGGTGCTGAATGAGATGGTTTTCAATTTGGCATTGAGAAAAAGTATCTCGAAAAATATTCATTTAACAATATTTTTCAATTTATCAAGAAAAGTATTCATATGCAGTGAAAAGTACAAGGGATTTCAAAGACCCAACCTCATTTAACAACGTTTTTTAACCAATCAGGATGTAGCTCACACTCCCATTTATGTTACAATTACTCTACATGACCTTGTCTTTTCCAGGTGATGTCACATGGGGTTTAACATCATGTCCAAGATTGTTGCAATTGTATACGGACGTGAAGGTGTGCATGTGTTGTGTGTGGCTGTTTGTACTAGTCTGGACTAATGCCGATGTTACAGTGCTAGCCCTCTGAGATACCATGCCACAGTTTAACATGAATACCCCACTCAGAAAACAATATACAGACTCCAAGCCGACCAGTCCTTGTTTTAGCCCTTTAATGCGGAGCGCCAGCAAAGGTAACAACAAGTACCATCTTTTAAAGTCTTTTGGTATGATGCGGCCGGGGATCATACCCCATACCTCCCGCTCTCCGGGCCATGGAGGCAGTTTCTTGTCTATACACATGACGTCATTACCAAAATCTTCACACAATGCAGATTTCCTGTCTTTCTGACATGACGACAAACCATAACATTACTAGTTCCACCATTTAGTACATTTAATAGATTTGTTGGGAAGTTATATATAAGTTAAGGCCGACAGATTTGATTTAGGAAATAGTTTGATTCTGATTTGTCAGTCAGGGGTAAAAAATCAGGTGATTGGACAACTGCATCCCCGTAGAAGATGATATAATATTGATAGAAAAGTACCATTTTCAATAGTTATATGTACAATTTTAGGTTACCAAAACCAGATTTGTTGTAACAACCATATTCAAAGTGTGTGTAGCAATACATTTTGTGCAAAAAACATGATGGAAATAAACTGGGGAGTATTTCAAGTTTTGGGCATAGAGAGTGTGAATTGTTTTTAAATTTGAGCGAGTTCTGGGATATTATCGAATAAAAAGAAATTGTCACTGAAAATTCTCAAAAATATATAATTATGCTTAAAAAAGAGGAAGAAATTGTCTGCCACAAAAGGTGTTTTTATGGTGTGTCAGGGTTTGAAATTCCTTGTATTTTAGTGACAATGGCAGGGTTAAAATCACAATGGACCCGATTAAAACATGTTCCCAATGCCCAAAGGGCACACTAATTAATAATGTTTTGTAACAGTACCTTGTGACAATGGTTGTTAAATGAAGCCAGTGATAAATATACTCACGCACAAGTAAACATGACAAACTCAGGGAGAATTATGCAATGTGAACATGCTTAATGCACAGTATGGTGCACAGAATAACGTTGGGTATTACCAATCTCAATGAAGAGGAAGGGAGCAATTATTCTAAAATATGACTGCTTATTATCTAGCCTTAGTGAAATAACATCCACAAAGTTAACAGATGGATCACAAGTTATCTAGTTGGGACACTTACATTCCAAAGTGCACGCTGAAACATCTTTATGAGTGCCCTGTGGCACACTTGAAAAAATATGCATTCTATCCCTGTGTTTACCAAAAAGTTATTAAGGCTCATATTTGAAAAAAATAACTGTTTTGTCAGCTAAAAATCCAAACAAAATACACCTATCAAATGGCCAGTCCCTTATAGTGAGTGAGTGAGTGAGTGAGTGAGTTGGGTGTAATGCTTTTAACAGTATTCCAGTTATATTGCGGCGTGTCAGCTTTATGTGGGAGGAAAGCACGAAGTGATGCAGGTCTCAGACGTTTACCACCTCGGTGAAACCCATGAGCACGGGTATGGTGCTGACAAATCAGTCCCTTACGGTGATGTAGGGTTTTACCTTTGTTGAACAGTCAAGAGGCCCCTATAATATAAGATATGTGAGGATTCGGCCATACTGTACGGAGGTTGTAAGTACCGGATAGACACCAAAATTAATGTAAATATTATTGAATGAAAATTTGATTAAAATCAGTAAAATAGATTACATAGATTACAAACATGAGTCCATATATACAATGAACACTTTAAATCACCGATGGTGTAACAACACAATCAACTTGCATAATCATGATAATTCAGACTTGTTGATATTCTATTTCCAATGACAGATCACGACGAGACATAGTTTTAGGTTGGGGGCCCGGCTATACTGCACATAACATTTTGATACAGATTTCAATGACCAAGTTAATACTCCGGCTTATGTATGAGATCAGCTGATCTACGGTCACATACGTTACAATGTTCACAACGTAATTCTGATAGAAAAGAACTGAAGTGTGCATACTACGTAAAGAAAAGGTATTTTTCATCAATGATTTCTGAATATCTTTGAAAACTTCAGTGGTAGCAATGTCAGCTCCTAATATTCTTACTGTCATCGATGTAATGTCATTTGAAAAGTACATGTATGCCAAATGTGTTGATTATCAGACTTTTCTTAATCGTGTTAATTCTCTCTGAAAACATGAGCAGTATCGATGTCAAATATTGACGTCGTGAATTGTCATCAATGTATAACTGTTTGCGTCACAGCACATCTCTGATCAATGTTTTCATCCATACTAATGGCCTATGTCGGGTCTGATCAGCAACACCATCTGTTCAGGTTTGGCCATCAAACCAAAGCAAATAGCACAAAATGTATTCCCAACATCCTTTGCTTAAAATGAAGCACAATATCACAGCCCCCTCATAATAAGGTCCATATGGTAGAACCAGCTATAACACCAACATCACGGATGTCTGTAGGGCCGTGTCATCATTGACAACCCACACCAACCTAGCTACGATTCTAAACTAAGTCCCCTTGCAGCCAAATTGGGAAAAATCATTATTCTGTTCAAAGTTCTTATTTTCCCCAATTCAGAGATATTTTAACATTGCATTCAATGTAATAAGGTAAATCTAAGAATTCAAGCCTTTTCCTCTAAACTGGTCGTGTTATCAGTGAAATACAAGTTACCTCTACAAAGGCTATCATTAGTTATAATAGTAACATGAATTGGAAAATACAAATCCAATTTGGGAATTTTTACTGACATTTGCTGCAGACATAGGGACATAAAGGAATAAAGGGGAATAAATCCCTATATAACCCCAGAACCATCATGAATATAAACACAAAGAAGAACACAATAAGTCACCCCAAGCATTATTCAAGCTACCCCTGCTGCATACACTGACATTTTCCTTTCTCCTGCTAAGTGAGAGAGACTTTATAATAGATAGGCAGTATCAGAGGCTTCATGAGACGCAGGTGACAAGAATATGACTCCACGATCTAACCCGGACTTGTGTGGGTGAACTTCATTCAAACTTGCTGGACGGGTTACCTTTGCAACAACAATGCTGTTTGAATGGTTTCTTTCGGTCCTTCTGATATTTTTTTCCGGCATAACATAACATCAAATTATGGAAGGGAATGTGAAATAATTGTGATCTGTTGTGAGATAACGGAGCCTGGTTGTCTGATAGGCTCATGTTATGTTATTTAGTGATCTGCATACATGACAAATATGATATTCATGTCAGGTATATATCAGACTTTTATACAAATTTATTATTATAAATTATCACAACAATTTTAGCAAATATGAAATATGATATAATATTTATATATAATACAATAGCTGTTATAAATCTGTGAAATTGTAATGTACGTCTGTTTGAAAGTCAAACATGACATATATATCTGTTTGATATTTTGGATAAAATCTGTCCATATTGACAAGACATTATATTGAAACGGATGTTTTGATTGATTGGAGAATGATGAATCATATACGGAGTGGCCCGCGTAAATTCAATCTCACCTGTGTTATCATGCACGCCGCCGATGATGTACAGCTTCTTCTGATAATTATTAGCTAATCCTCCTGCTGGATCGGATGGGTAGTCATAGCGATAGACTCCAAAAACCATCTTGTGAGAATTAACAAATGATTATCCAAAAAGAAGTGCACAGTGTCCGAGTCCAGGCTATCGCGAGCCTGTCACTGCCTTTACCACTCCCCTCCAGTGTTCTAGCCAAACTGATCCTTTACTATACATGATGCAGCACAGGCCAGTCCATTCACTCCCTGTAGGGGGGTCAGGTCACTCACTCTCTGTTGCGAATCCGTTACACATCAGTGACAATACTTAATCACAAGATTTGGACGGATAAATATCATAAGACGGATAAACTTCATACCTGCAAATCTCCCAGAATCCTCGTGGTCGGTGTCTGTGTCTGAGTAGGGGTCGTGGTAGCTGCCAGGCGTGGATGGGCGGTCGTCTGAAACAAGGGAGATCGGGCATGACAGGAGATAATCTTTATGGGTGAAAGTATTTTCATCCGAGCAAGTGTGAACACTAACATAGGTATCACTTCCATATTTTTCATGCTGCAGAGAGAAGGCTGAAGGCAAAGGCTGGAAACATGATATTATCAAAGTTGGCTAGGCACCATCATCCGAAATTGAAACATTTTTTATTGACAGTATTCTAACGTTATTGATTTTTCAATTCCTTTGTTAGACAACGATGGCGAAGCAATTTTTAATGTTAGAGAAAAGATTCTATTGTAGATTTGTTTTCAAGCTTACAACTTAGTGCTTATAAAATATAATTTCATTAAAATGTTTGATGAAAGTTTAGAGTGAGTGAGTGAGTGGGTGAGTGAGAGATTTAAAGCCACTTTTAGCAATATTCCAGCCATATTGTCAGGGGACACAAGAAGTGTGAAAATTTAGAATAATGACAAATATTTTATGAATGAATAATACAATTTAGGAACATACAATCACTTCATCTAGATCAGGACAATACTTGTTTGCTGTTTATTCAGTCAGTACAAACAATAAATCACTCAATAGATTCGCCACATAGAAGGGCAGATAAAGACACAACACATAGGGAATTGTTTAAATGATACAAGCATGAAACTCTACAGTATTCCCACTGGTTTGTACAGCCTTGACAATTCACGCTAGTCCGCTAGCCCGAGACTACCAAATGGTGCTGAGGACAGGTCCAATCCAGTGATGGTAGTCTCACTGACTTGTAGCATTTGAGGGCTATAAGTCTGAACCAGTCCTAAATGCTTCAATTACCACACATTGGAACTGAATAAGGCTGATGGAAAATGCTTCAAAGTCTGTGGACTAGTGAAATAAGGTTTCTACTAGTCCAGAGCTCCAGATAAGTATTTGAGCAATTGAGTTTTTACTCTAGGGTTTCTATTTTAATTGGTTTATTACATTTTTCATTTGGTAACCAATATTTTTCATCTATTCATCACTCTATTGGGGTTTTCCCCAAATCAGTTGACATTTTAAGATTTAAAAAAAAGAGAATAATTTAGATGTATATAACGGTTCTAAATATATAGGCTTGACTTGAAAAGTAAATAAACTTGTAATTGTGTTTCAGAAATTAGCTCTGTTGTATGCATGCTGAAAAAGCTTCATTGGGTATTTACAATTTCATTTAATGCATGCGTTTCTGTACCCAAGTTAATTGAAAGTAAATGGGTTTTGAATATTTTTAGGGGTATTTTACGCAAATACGCTGCTTATAAGTAGCTCTGCTAGACTCTAAAATATGATAATTCTAAGGCTGTATGCATATTAGAAAAGAAATATGTTAGCCCCTGTTCAAAATTGACTTATAAATTTGAGAAAATCAAATTCCAATTTCAGATGGACTAAGATAAGTTTCTCATCTATAAGATGCATGTAATATTTACCAACATGTATCCTCTGGTAAATACACTGACACAAGGGTGCAAACTGATCCCTACTTTATATCCACCCACATAATACTCTCAGTAAAAGTGGACCGACCCATCCATATTGTGCGTGGGGTAAACCTCTCACTCGCTTCCCTATTGTATCTGTCAATCATGTTTACCCCTAACTCCTGACAAATGTAAATACAAAACCCCTTCCTCGAACGATCACTCTCTCCACCCTATTGACACAGATATTTCAGCTACTATCTAGATAAGATACCCTTAGAACAAATTCAGGGTGCGGTGATCGTGAAGTGGTTGACTAAAACACGGGGGATTTTCGATTTACGTGTCTGAGTGAAAGTATGCAGTGTGTATGCACCTAACATGCAGTCGGCAACATTTACCTGACAGGTGGGGTGTGCAACTGCATTTAAACTGTTGATTTAGGTTCGTCACTTCTAAACAAAACCAGCTGTAAATAACGAATGCAATTAACTGAGTGATGTCTTGATTTAAAAAATTTAAAAATACTTAGGAGTGTCTACTAAGTTTAACTTAGTGAGACTGAGATGAACATGACCAAATATGGGCAGTTAAATGTTTCATATCTGAACACATTGATCTCTTATGATAAAACCCCCAATGCATCCCCTTTTCAAGGATGGCTGTAATCTCATGAAACACATCAACTATTTTATATTTATATAAGGCCACAATAAATTACTTATTACTTTTTCATCCAGGGTTAAAAAGAAGGTGAGGAAGAGGAATGTTATTCTAAATATATTTTTAAAACAAACTGTTCAAGGTATCTATGTACAGTAACTGTTAATGGGTGTGATTCAAATGAAGCATCAATGTTTGGTAAGATTTTGTTGAGTGAGTGAGTGAGTGAGTGAGTGAGTGAGTGAGTGAGTGAGTGAGTGAGGTTTTACACAGCTTTTAGCAATATTCCAGCAATATCACGGCGGGGGACACCAGACATGGGCTTCACATTGTACCCATGTGGGGTATCGCCTTTGGCATGATGAGCGAACCACAAGGTTACCTGACTGCCCAAAGGTAAAGTATGAAGGTAACACACTGCAATCACCTTTCTCCTAATGTTCTACAATACACTGATGTAAGGGGCAGGGTGTTTTATGGTCATGCAGATAGGGTTGAATCTAATAATTAATTTATTTATTTTCTTGTTTTACTGATAAACTCTATATTACCGGTATGTAAAAGTATAGAAAAGAAAATACATTCCTCTAATCTAATTGCTTCAAACACCTACCTGTCAATAAATATTATTGTAAATTTAATCCGAGATATTTTCTTGAACAGAACACAAGTAACCATTGGCTAAGACATTTTCAAAATACTGGTACTATTCTGATTTTTTAAATTTTTTATTTCAAAATTCCTTTTAAATTCAGATAATGTCTCCTGAACCTCCACCAGTATATAGGGTATGATTTCATTCTGTTTTACCACCTTCACCAGGTGCAACAGAGTCAATTAATCAGGTTGCACCACCAAAATATTGGCTGCACCATTTTATCATAAACTGAAACACTGTATTTTCAATTATGTTGGATATTAAATAAATCCAAAAAGAAAATAAACTTGAGAATGTGCTACAGTATTTTATTTTGAGGAAATCTGTAAATGGCTTTTAACATCTTGATCATATGCAGCAAACTAGTGAGTGAGTGAGTGAGTGAGTATGGTTTTACGCCGCTTGTAGCAATATTCCAGCAATATCACGGCGGGGGACACCAGAAATGGGCTTCACACATTGTACCCATGTCGGGAATCGAACTCAGGTCTTCGGCATGACGAGTGAAGGCTTTAACCACTAGGCTACCTGACCGCCCCTCCAGCCAACTACCTTTAACAGAAGTGTCAAAGTGTCTGTGTATTGGGATTGTAACCTCATGAGTGACTGTTCTAGTGGTAGTTCTACAAGTTCACTGCATTCAGACCAGTGTATTTCACTATTTTCATGAACTTTTGCTTCCTGGATTCTAAAAGATTTGCAGCCGGTTCTAAAAGAATTAAGTTTTCCACTTTTATCAAGTATAACTGCTGCCATGCACTTGCCGTGGGAAATGTTACCTGCACTGGGTGGAACCTGGCAATGAAAATTACCTGCACTTGCAATGTTTTACCTGCACTGGTGCAGCTTGGATATAGCGAAATCGATGCCTGGTATGTCTGCATGTCAAAAGCACTTTAGATTCAGCATTGGGTTTTATGGTCTTCACATTGTTGAATGATTGTTCGCTAACAATTAACTTGGACAGGTCAAAATGAAACATAATTTGTCGAGCTTAATACCTTTTATAATACATTTTCCATATGATGATAGGATCAGATTGTTTACACATGGTTTAGGGGAAATAATATATGCTGATTCTGTTCAGGACGTTACCATAGAGACACACATCAAAAATGCATATTCGTTTTTTGAAATATTTGTCAAAATGGCCACAAACATCTTATTAAGTATTTCTGGGTGCATGTATGTAGGCATGAGATAAACAACACAACAATGTCGTAAAGGTTCCAATCTCGTTTAATGTGTGAAGGTCTTGAGCACAAAAACGCAATCATGTCATCTTTTCTACTTCAATTTAAAATTGATTGTGTTTTCACTGTTTCAGTGTAATTTGATCCCAGTGAGTGAGTATGGTTTTAGGCCGCTTTTAGACATCTTCTAGCAATATCAGGACGGGGGACACCAAGAAATGGGCTTTACACATTGTACCCATGTCGGTAATCAAACCCAGGCCTTCGGCGTGTGGGGCTAACGCTTTAACCACTAGGCTATTGGAACACACCTAATGTGGTAGAAGGTTTGTTCTCTTCAGTTTGTGTTTCCGGTGGCCAGACTATTCATTATTAATTTCAACTTACGAATTAACATTGAAAATGGCAATGTTAGATTTCTGTAGCTGTACCTCTTTTTTCCCATCCATCAACATCATGAAAGATAGGGCAGTCAGGCATAAGGAGTAATTTAAAGTTTTAAACCTCTATTTCGATATTCTGTTTTTGGCTCCGATGGGCCAAATCATTCGCCAAGTGTGGCCTTGTTCACACAGCACACTAGTGCATTGAGCTACATAGCCCATCACAAAGGTACATACACAATATTAAATCAGAATAAAGATGAAAAAAAATATAGTTAAGAAATCCTTACTTAAATAAAGGAGGGTGCATCAAGTACTATCTTTTTACAGACACACTTCTGATCTTTAAAAAAACCTTTATGCATTTCTTTGGTCAAAGCCCTTTTATATATTCCAGTGTATAGCCACATTCCTCTCATCATTGTCAATCTCACACTGTAGGACGCGGTTGTCATAATTTATCAAAACTCATTTTTGTTCAGGTCTATCTTTGTGTGGTGTCTTAAGCCCAGGTACCCATGTGTGACATCCCCCTGTGCGAGGGGGAAGAAGTAGGGGGGGAGAAGAAGGTTAGGGGGAGCAAGGAGAGTAGGCTACACAACAACATACGTCCCTGTCCAAAGTAGGCTTATTTCGAACACCAAGCCAATAGGGCTGGGA